GGGGTGTCAGCTGCTGGGTGTGCTGGCACGGGTGCTGGCAGCCTTGCAACTGGCACAAACCCCGTAGCCAGCCCGTGGCCCTTTAAGGGCTCTGGGGCCGGGAGGGGGGCAGTAGAGTTTCCCTGGTGTTGGTCAGAGTGGCCACCAGGGAAAGCTGGGAAGGGCTAGCCTCCCACTAGTTCGAATTAAGGGGCTACACAGCCCTTAATTCGAACTAGTAAGTTTGAACTAGGCTTAATCCTCATGGAATGAGGTTTACCTAGTTCGAACTAAGCGCTCCGTTAGTTCGAATTAAATTCAAACTAACGGAGCGCTAGTGTAGCACCTATGAAAGTTAGTTCGAACTAACATCCGTTAGTTCGAACTAACTTTGTAGTGTAGACATACCCCCAGTTCCCCATCTGTAAAATGGGATAATAACATTGCCATAACTTGGAGTGGAGTGGAGATAAATATATACCCTCCCTTCTGCTTGATTTCTTGCTACAGATTAAAAGAAAGAGCACACGTTCTCAAAGACTACTCTGTGATCTGCAGATCAGCTAGGGGCTTCCATGAAGATACTATTCCTGTTGTTTAATTGCATACTGAATTTACAAAGATGCTTTTTAGCTCACAGCCCCATAAAGTCTGAGGCTACGTCTACACTGTAGCATTTTGTCGGCAGAGGAAATGCAAATGAAGCGCTCATTAGCATTTCTTGTGCTCTCATTTTCATAGCCTTTTCCGATCTGTTTTACGGAAGAGGTTTTTGCAGAAAAAAACACAGTGTAGACGGGGTCATTTTGCACAAAAAACCCTTTTGCGCAAAAACCTGTATACCTCCTTTTTTGAGGGATAAGGGATCTTGCGCAAAAGGGTTTTTTTGCGCAAAATGGCCTCATCTACACTGCATTTTTTTCCGCAAACACCTCTTCCGCAAATCGGATTGCAAGAGACTATGCAAATGAGAGAGTGAGAAATGCTAATGAGTGCTTCATTTGCATTTCCTCTGCCGACAAAATGCTATAGTGTAGACGTAGCCTGAAATAGGTAGTCACCCCAGTCAGATTTAAAGTGAATGAATCACAGAGCAGGAGTTACGACCACTGGGAATGTTATTAAATCCTGTGTGGATATATGGGGTAGAGCTGTGACTAGAACCCAAGAGTCATAATTGTGCATCATGTCCAAATAAGATTAATTCAGATTTCAGGCAAAAGTACAACATAAACTAAAAACCTCTCCCATCCCTACATTGTGACTTTAGAAAATAAGAAAGAAGCTAACATTCCAGAAACATATGTATTGCGATTCACCAGCCCTCTTTCCACCCCATTCTTTCAGCATTATGTAATTTATTTTTCTCTGCAACTAAGGCTTTCCTCCAGATTTCATTATTTCTTTCCTTCAGTATAAGAGCCTGCTTTGGCTATGCTTTCATCAGATACATGCAGGAAATTAAATAATGCAACATGGCAGAGTTTCAAAGGTCTTTTTTCTTAAGGGGAAACGTGAAAGGGTATTAATATTTTGAGGAACTGGGAGTAAATAAGTCTCACATGGACTGGAGCTTTTTCGTGTGTAACTGACAAAAACAATAAAGCCTGAAGCCCTAAAGAAACAATGTGTGGCTCCAGCAAGTTAAAACAAATTGCCTGTGTGAAAATTTCTTTATTGTTACAATACAATGGAAAAACAAACTATACATGTAAAAAGCAGCATCTAAGTAATGGGAACAAATGCCGGATCTGATGCAGACATAAAGTAATGTGCAGTACACTCCATGAATGCATGATGTTATGAGTCACAGAGGCAGTACTCAAGATTTTCCACTCATAAAATTGTGGCCCCTAAAACTTAAGCTAAAGAAGAATCTATTTTAGCTTCAGTTTTATAGCCTTATGGTTTATAGAAATTAAGGGTTGGTGATATATAATCCACCAGAAAAATTATCACACAGAGGCATTTAAATAAAGCTCCTTCTGGCTAAGTTTACACAGCAACATTATTTTGAAATAACTAGAGTTATTTTGAAATAACAGAGTCTGTGTCTACATAGCCGGCAATTATTTCGACACAATGTCAAAATACTGTCAAGCTGGAGGACTTCTTACTCCAACTTGTGTAACCTCATTTAATGAGGAGTAAGGGAAGTTGGAGGAAGAATGCTCTATTTTGAAATAAGTTCTGTGTAGACAGCACCAAAACTCGAAATAAGCTATTTTGAAATAAGCTACGCAATTGATGTAGCAAAATTTGCGTAACTTATTTCGAGATAAGCCCTGCTGTGTAGACGAGCCCTCCGAGTGCCCAGGTTTCATAGGAGTTAAAAATCACATAATTGTGTTAATTTTGATATATTTCTGGTCATGAGGACTTCCTGGCTTTCACTTTCTAAATCCTAAGCCCCTTTTACATGAGTTAAAGAAGCATACCCATTACAGGTAAAAACAGCCATCAGTAGCTGCCATGATCACACAGCAACACAACTGAACAGGTCTGATATTACATCCAAGAAGCTTTCAGTCATTCTGGCAAAGATTTAGGGAGACTTCATGTGGTGACTATCTGCATCACAGGCTATTTCAGCTATCAGGGAGATAAGAGTGAAGTACTGTGTCCAGAAGGCTGAACAAAGTGTTCTCTTTGGCTATGTCTGGACTACATTCCTCTTTCGACAAAGGAATGTAAATGAAGCAAATCGAAAGTGCAAATGAAGCCCGGATTTAAATATCCCGCACTTCATTTGCATATTCACATCCGAGTGCTTTTTCAAAAAAGAAAGTGCAGTCTAGACAGGGTTCTTTTGAAAAAACAACCCCTTTTTGGAAAGAATCCATATTCCTGAAAAAAATGAGGCATATGGGTTCTTTCAAAAAGGGTTTTTTTTTTTTCAAAAGAACCGCATCTAGACTGCGCTTTCACTTTTGAAAAACCCTTTTTCGAAAAAGCACTTGGATACAAATATGCAAATGAAGTGCAGGATATTTAAATCTGGGCTTTATTTGCATTTTCGATTTGCCTGATTTACATTCCTCTATCGAAAGAGAAATGTAGTTTAAACATGCCCTTTGGGTTCACTGCAAGTCATGTCCACACTCTGCACCCTACACAGACATTAGCACAAATTTTAGTAAAACAAATAGAAACAGAGGAAAATCTGGGCTTGAAACAAAAGAACATTGTGTGTGTTCTCAGCAGAGGTAAAAGTAAGCGGGTGCACCCTGGTGCACAACTCTGGTAAGGGCTGACTGAGCTGCTGCAAAAACCAGCTGGGAGTGATTTAAAGAGCTGGTAGGGACCCAAGTGGCAATAGGACAATAACTGTTAAGTTACTTTCACTGCTGGCTGTCAGGAAGTTTTCCATACAACTCTTGATAAGTCCCAATCATGCTTCGTTTCTGAGTACTGACTCTCTTATAGCTTGTAGGGAGTCGGTGTGGCTTCCCCTGATCCAGTGAGTGAGGAGTCACCCTCTCTGGTTGAATGGGCAGGGCCAGATAAAGTTATCCCCCCCTCCCCTCCAGAAGCAGAGGCAGAGCAGGAAGTAGAAAAGGCTGGGCCCCTAGCTCTGTCAAAGCAGTGCAAGGGAAGGAGGCAGATGTGCTCTGCTCTCTGCAGACTCTGCTACCAACCCAGGTACCAACCATTGTGCACCTGGAGAGGCCTGAGGCCAAGGAGGAGCTGGAGCTTGCGGAACTGCTGGTGTCCAAATAGCCACACTAACCTTAGGAGCCAGAGCTAATGGGACTATTGGTCAACTGAATACCCGGATGGAGCTGATGAGCCTGACCTGGGGCAAGGTAGGAAGTAGCCCAGGCATTTTAGGTTGACAGTTTGGTGGCTTAACAGACTGTCAGTATGTTGCAGGAGGATTCCCCACTGACCTGGAGGCAGGACACTGTACCACTCCCAGGACCCTGAGCTGGAACACAGTGGAGTCAGGTGGACCTCTATTCCCCTACTTCTGCCATAGCATTCTCACTGTGGCTGTGTCCAGACTCAGGGGGTTTTTCCGAAAAAACTTCACCTGCGTCTAGACTGCAGCCATGTTCTTTCGAAATTAAATCGAAAGAACGCGGCTTTTCTTTCGACGGTGGTAAACCTCATTTTACGAGGAAGAACGCCTTTTTTCGAAAGTGCTCTTTCGAAAAAAGGCGTTCTTGAATGCAAACAGGGCTTTTTCAAAAGAGAGCATCCAGACTGCCTTTCAAAAAAGCGGCTTGCTTTTTCGAAAGTTCCGCTTGCAGTCTAGATGCTCTTTTTCGAAAGAGGCTTTTTCAAAAGTATCTTTCGAAAAAGCCTCTTTCGAAAGAGGCTTGCAGTCTAGACTTAGCCTGTAGGTCACAAGGCCACTGCTTGCCAGCATCACTCACTTGCTTGAGGGCTAGAGCTATTAACTGCTTGCCATCACTGCTCTGTGCCGGGAGGGGGGGGGGAGGGATGTCTTGGCCTTTCTCTTGAATTTCCTCTGTTGCTTTGGCCAAGTGTTGCTGCTCCCCATAGCTAATTCTCCCCTTTCCTAGAGAGGTGTGACCGTAGGCTACCTCACAAGGCAGTGGCCCATCCGCTTGAGAGGCTCAACTTGCCAACCAATCCACTACATCACCCAATGTGGCATGGCTGCAGGTTGGTTGAAATGCAGCAGTATAAAATGGATGCCTACTACAAGGCTTGAATTTCAATGATATACTTAAGGTTTCTATAATTAAATAAACGTAAGACCACTAGCATGATCTGTTGCATACTGTTTCCATAAAGATTCACATTTGCTCTAATTTTTAAAACGTTTTCCATACATTCTAAATGTTATTTAGAATTTCTATGATGTTCTCCATCTGAGACTCTCATTGTGTTTAAGGTAAGCGAATGAAATAAGCCTTAAAACACTAATGGGAGGCAACAGATCATATTGTTATCCTCCCTCCCACCACCTTCTTTTTAACAGATAAATTAACTGAGTCAGAATGAGTGTGACGGGGCGTCCCTGCCCCATCCCTCCTCCGCTGTTGGCGAAGCACCGGGCAGCCGCCGCGGCAGGGAGGCTCACCCCTGCACCCCCTGCTCTCCCACCACTCGGCCGTCGCTCCGGGCTGACGTCAGGCGGGGCGACATCGGGGAAGCCCCGGGGCGGGCAGAGGGAGCGAGGAAAGGCCCCGCCTCCCAGGAAGGGGGCGGGGTGCTAGACGTCCCAGATCGGGGGCGTCAGGCAGGGACGCCGGCGTAAGGCAGGGCTGTGGCCAGGCGTCAGCACGGCCCGCACCGGGGAGAGGGCGAATGGGGCAGCGGCGGCCATTTCAAAAGGCCCGCCAGCCCAGCCAGGAGGGGAGCCCCGAGCCTGGGAGCTGAAAGGTCCGGGCCCTGAGAAGGAAGGGAAAAGGTCGGGGCCTGAAAAAACGGCCCAGCCGCGGACAAGAGTGGTCGCTCCTTCGTCAGCAATCCTGTCTGAAAAGGGGAAGGTGAGCTCCATGGTGGAGGGGCCTTCGGGGGAAGGGAAGTAGCCCAGGGTGGAACCCGGTGTGGTTGGCGGGTCGGTGCATTTCGGCGGCTCACCCCCACTGACCGGACCGGATCCTACTCGGATCTGGGTCCTTAGGGCTCTGGGCTGGGGACCGTGAGCGAGGGCGGGTCCGGGCCCCCCCTTCTCCCTTCCGCAGTACCCCTGGTCGCTGTAACGAGGGGGCACGGCAGCACTATAAACGGAGGCTTTAAGCTCGAGGCTGATCCAGGGGAGCGGGATGGTGAGGCAAGTGACGAGCACCCGAGACAGACTGTAGGCGGTCCAGCGGTGGACCGAGTGAAGACAGTCGACTGGAGCACTGAGGCACGGTGGGGGGGAGGCGGTCCCGGGAGCGCCCCCTGACAATGAGATTAAGTATCTCTCACAAAATTAGACAAGAAATATGTGGCAGAATTGAAATAAAATGCAGAGTTCCTGAGTTCCAGTCTTGTCCTTTTTCTCTCCCTTCAAATGAGGTAATAAAAATAAATTCTTCTAGAAAGAAACATTGCATCAAAAGAAAATGTAGCATGAGGAGAAGTTGCCACAGGTAATATGTCAACTCCCTGAATATCAGGCAAGATCTGAAGGGATTTGTTTATAAACTATTAGAAATGCAATATTGTATGTGATCATAACACCTACCAAGTTAACTTCACTGCAAGATTTACTTACTGTGCAGCTGCCATCTTATCAATACAAAACAGTAGATTTAGATTAGTGGTTCCCTACTGCTGGTCTGCAGACCGGCACCAGGCCATGAACCACTGGCTGCCGGGCTGTGGCAGCTCTGGGGGCCAGGGCTGGGATACACCGTCCAGTGCCTCCCCTCTCACCGCGGCTGTTGGGAGAGGCATGTCCTGACCCACCTCTCAGCCAACCACTGCCAAACAGGGACAGGGTCTCCTCCCAACTGTGGAAGAGCAGTTCCCTTAGAGCAGCCACAACCTGGGCAACAGCACTCAGCTGGCAGCTGGGAGGCAGCACAGGGCTAGGTGAGGGGGCGGGGCTAGTGCTGGAGTAATGCGGGTGGGGGGGGGGGAGCTCTAGGGGGGGGGGAGCCATAAGAGGCAGGGATTGACACTGGGGCATCCGAGATGGGAAGCTGGCACTGGAGGGATCTGGGGAAGGGCTAGTAATGAGGGGGCTATGGGGATAGGGCTGGCACTGGGGGGCAGTGGGGACAAGGTTAATATTGGGGACAGGGGGCTGTCACTGGGGGAGCCCTGGGGTGGTTGGGTGAAGTGGAGCTCTGGAAACAGAAGGCTGGCACTGGAGGGGGGATTGGTTGTAGTGGACTCTGTGGTCAGTGGCTGGTGCTGGGGGATAGTAGAGGTGTGGAGGGCTCTAGGGCTGACACTGGGAGGGCTCTGGGGGTCAGGATTTTTTATACCACAGACTGGCAAACCCATTTACAAACTTTTGGTGGACTGGTAACATTTTATTTGCATATTTGAATATCCATTATTTGTGTAATTAATACGCAAACATTCAAACAAAATGTTACCAGTCCATCAAAAGTTTGTGAATGGGTTTGCTGGTCCGTAGTATAAAAAAGGTTGGGAACCACTGTTTTAGATGATACTCCCTAGTTCACTGAGTCCAGAGTTCTGAATCATTTTGTCCTACCATCTGAACAAAGAAAATACCTACTCAGGTGATTTGCAGAAGAAAAATAAGGCAAAGTGGCCAAACACACAGCAAGGCTGGGAAAATCCACTTCATAAATGCATGATGTTAAGCTGGACATGAGGTGAAGATTCTTCTCAGTGAGTTTCTTCCCTTCATCAAGCAAGAGGTTTCAGTCTTCTGCTGTGTTAATTAGGACCTATGAGGATATCAATGCCAATTAGTTAAAACTCCTGCTGGTTACGTGATCTGAACTTCTGCTTCATTAATAACAATGACCAAAGTAAATTCTAGAAGGTTCTTGTAAATGTCAGGCTGTGTATTGTATCTCCAGAGCTGACCTGATGCAAAGGCTGCCTGTCCAAAGATAAATATTGGCGCTCCTCAGTGTGTGCAACATTAATGAGACCTACCTGATTCTAGATCCTCCACTCAAGAGACAGCTGCAATATTTTAAAAACTTTTTATCACCTCTTTTTGAAAACACAGTACAAGCCTTGGCAATATAATGACATGTGCTTTCAGTTGGAAATACTACAAATGATAATACTCCACATATAGGAGAGACATTTAGTTACTAGTTTACTCCAGCTTTCACATGGCTCCACTGTAAAGTATGAGACACCTGGTCAAGTATCCTGCATAATGCAGGAAAATAACACAAAGACCCCAGAAGAATAGATGAAATGGTCTAAGTATCTCAGAGGGTCAGCCACGTTAGTCTGTAACTTTAAAAACAATGAGTAGTCCTGTGGCATCTCTGGGTGCATCTACACTGCACCCTTACCTCGAAATAAGCTATGCAATTTGTGCTACGCAAATTGCATAGCTTATTTTGAGGTAATTTCAAAATACCTTATTTCAAAATTTGGTACTGCCAAATTTTGAAATATAGCACTATTCCAACAAGTCTCTTAACCCTTGTGGAACGAGGGTTACAGGGATGCTGGAATAGCATGCCTGTTATTTCGAAATATATTTCAAAATAATGGGTGCATTTAAAGATGCGTAATAGCTATGTCAGGATATTTCTGGTATCCCAAAATAGCACCAGTGTCTAAACGTAGCCTCAGAGACTAACAAATATAAATATACGGTATCATGAAATTTCATGGGCAAAATCCACCTCTTCAGATGAGATGATCTCAAGTGACATTAACCATAATATTTTACATATTTAGTCAATACAGCATAGACCAGCATCAGGATTTTACCAATGTCAATACTAGCCTAGGTCTTCCTGAATATTGTTCAAAAACTATGAATTTAATTCAGTGTTTTAGTTCAATGAGGGTATACTTTATAATGAGCCGTTACTTTGAAATAACTATCCTAGCGTCTACCCAGCCATTCCGTTATTTCAAAATTAAATCGAAATAGCAGCGGGCTTATTTTGAAATTGGTAGACACTTATTTCAAAATAGGGGGCCTCCAGCCTTCCCAGGGTGCCCTGGTGGTCACTCTGGCCTCAACCAAGAACACTCCTCTCCCTCCCTTGCTCTCCAGAGCCCTTAAAGGGGTAGACTCTGGCCACAGTGCCTGTGCCAGCTCCAAGCATGTCAGCCCAGAGCCAGCAGTCACTGCCCCTGACCCAGTAGTCCCAAAACCTCCACCGCTTCCCAGGAACAGTCTGCCAGCTCCCAGGAGCCTGCCAGGGCCCGGAGAAGGCGGGCGCCTTCCTGGTCCAGGGTGGACATCATGGACCTCATTCAGGTTTGGAGGAAATGCCCCCAACATCCATGATCTCTGCACTAAATGGAGGAATGCGGCTGCCTCTGGCAGGATAGCTGACCGCCTGGCCACCAAAGGCCACATGCGAACCCAGGAGCAGGTTTGCATGAAAATCAAATAGGTCTGGTGAGACCCCCAACCCTGAGCCCTAAGCTTCCCCTCCCCCTTCTTCCCCTTGCTTCCCCTTTTCAGCTCCCTCCTCCCAGGTTTCCCCCTCCCCTCTCCCACCCTCTCTTTTCCCCTCTCCTACCTTCTTTCCCCAGTCTCACCAGTTTCATTCCTCCCCCCGCCAGTTTTGTTAAATAAAGAGAGTTTGTGTTCATGAAAATACGTATATTTTATTTTACATCAGAAAGGGGGGTTAGGGAGGGGTAAGTGGAAGAACATGAGGGAGGAATGAGGCACAAACCCCCAGTGGAGCAAACCAGGGAGGCTCTTAGTGCTCCTCAGGATGGAAGCTCTCCCGCAGGGCCTCCTGGATACTGACAGTCCCCCGATGAACCTCCCAGATGGCAACCTGCAGAAAGTGTAGCCACGCTCATAGCAACATGTCCAAGAGAATCACCAGAGTGCCCAGGGGCAGCTCTGGCTCCATGTTGCAGAGTGCTGTGGTGTCCTGAGTGAGGGCAAACAGAGCACACAGAGACAAAATGATTAGCTGTCCCTCATTGAGGAGGAAAGCAAGCAGGGAAACCTGAGAACTGGCTGTCCGGGGGAGGGGGGGTCCCTTTAAGCACAGGCCTCAGATAGCCTCAGGCAGCAGCCACACAAAGTAACTCCTGACCTGACGCCCTGCGGACTTGGTTCTGGCTGGTCTTAAATGAGATTCAGCGTCCACTCAGTGTGGACGCGCTATTTCGAAATAGCAAAATGCTATTTTGAAATGCATTTTGTGTGTAGACACGTTATTTCGAAATAAGTATTTCGAAATTAAATATTTTGAAATAACGCTGAGTGTCTTGCCTATAAAACACATTAGCTGTTCACTTCTGATCAAGAGTTTGATCTTGTATCACTGAACTCTGAAGTCAGTGGAAGTTTTTGCCATTGTCCTGAATGGGAACAGGATCAAGTCTGTAGGGAGTATATAATGGTGTGGAGGTGTTCTTGGTATAGGTATTAAGGCCATAAATGAATTATACAGATCATCCTAAATGGGTGGTGATAAAACCTTTATACCACTCACATACATTTTATTTGCCACATAAGTTACAGAAACTTTTTTTACAACTGTTTTAAAGAGTTTTAAAACTATGTACTGTGATTGTTTTTTGGATCCCTCTTCCTGAAAAGCCATTGTGCAGGGCTCAGAGGAAGCAATAAAATCCTCTACAAAAGACCTAAAATAGTTTTTCTATACATAAAACTTTGCCACTTCTAAAGTATCTCAGAAATTCCGTGTAGATGTTAAGAATCTCCTCTTTCACACTGAATAAAGTTCAAATAACTAGCACTGATGGACCAGGAGAATCAGACTTTAAATCTAAGACATATGTATATATAAAAAAATCTATCATTGGCACATCACTGAAACTTGCCCAACTAGAACCCCTGGTCTGTAATTTGGAGGCAACAGTCCTTATGCTGTGGAAGAAAGAGAAAAAAAATTGATAGTGGGTAATGGTAACTTGTTGATGCTGTTCAGGGGACTGGAAAGTAAGAGTAAGTCCTGAGGAGATGGATTAATGGGTATAGTGCAGGTCAAAAGTACCTGAATAGTTTATGTGTATGAATGTACACACACATATGTAAAGAGTCAAATTCTCCTCATTTATTTCCATGCTATTTTAAACCACAGGAATTAATAGGGATGCATAGGTATATACAGGACAAGAATTTGGCCTATCGTTCTTAGTCCCTTACAATAACATTTCATCACAGTCACATTGTACTGAATGTGTAATGCATGAGTTTGTCCCATCTGACAATCACATGCAAACTTGGTAGTGATAATAACCTTGGAGAAGAAATTAAGAAAATTATCTTAATTCTAGAACTCCTTAATACATTTCCTTTCAGAAAACCTAAACAACCATATACATAAGATTAAAAAATAGTGAAAGTTCTCTTGCTGTGTATTCACCACAGCATGCAAATAAAGTTATCTGTTGTTTTAAAATGTTCTTTTTATTGTCTGTTACCTTTTTATTTTGCCATCCAGACTAGGTCAAAAGTAATGACCCCAGTGAACATTCTTGACAGACATTCCATCAGGACGTGACATATGCCTCTCAAGAGTCTTTGATTTCCTCTCATTTGCTTGGTCTGTCCCGTACTTTATTCTGTGAGGGCTAAATCCTGAGAAGTGCTAACTACCTGCTACACTCATTGGACCTTTCTGGAGGATGGATCCTCAACAAGTACAGATTGTTACAGTTCCGAAGATCTGCCTCTGGAAATTTTGCCATTGACTGAAATGGGAACAGGACTAGGCTCCATATAGTTGAGGATGTTCAGCACTTTACAAGAATGGGCCCCATTTAAGCAGGCTAAGCCCAGTCATCATACTTGTTTCAGAGCTCATAAAAGCTTTAACAATAAAGCTTACTGTAGTGCCAGATATACAGAGCCATAGTTCTCCCTGAACCACTTACAGAAAGAGAGTAGGGAAAATCAAGCAGGAAATATGAAACTTCTGGAATGTGAAGGGCACACTCTTTAAATCACATTTGCATATTGCTAATAAATTGATGGCTGTTGATGTCTATGGTAATAGGGATGTCACTGCTAACAACTGCCATCACAACAAGGACTTGCATCACTTTCTGCCCATGAACAAAGAGTTTTGCTGTGTTCTGCTAACGGTGAAATGAGGCAAGCCAGAATTGATGCTAGTGAAGCATAAGGGGTTTGACCTATTGTTATTAATAATAAATATTAGACTGCAAGCACAAAAGGCAACCTTTCCTCCTATAAATAAATTCATAGTTAGCTAGAAACAGAAAAGACACAAATATAATTGACTCCATCTCCCTGCAGGTCTAGGACAGATGCTGTATCTAATACTAAATGGATACAGTATCATATTTGAGGAATATCAAGTTTTAAAATTTTCCAGTGAAAATGTATATATTTTTTTTCCAGAGTGCTCTAATTAATGCTGTAAAGGATTTCAACTGTGAATGCAAATAAAAGAAGACAGCAGGCAAATACAGTTTCTTCCCTCAAGACATTGGGAAAAAAATAGTATTGAACTGACTTGTTTTTATTTTTGCTTGAGACTTATTACTGTATAGTAAGTTAACCCACTGGGAACATTTTAGAAGCATCAGAAAGTATTTTTTGTTCCAAAATGAAAAACTATTTTTTCATAACTTTGTATGTATTTCTGATAAAAGATTAGCCTGAACTTTGATTTTGATCCACTTTTTCAGAGTACTACACTCCAGTTCTAGTTAGACACCAAATTCAAATCTAGATTCAAATCCAGTGTTCTTTTGGTTTGTGCTGATCTGTGTTTCTGAGGTAGTGTAGGTAATGTGTAAACTCATAGACTCATAGACTCATAGACTTTACCAAGATCATATTATTTCATCCAACCATCCCCTTATCATAGAATCATAGAACTGGAAGAGACCTCAGAAGGTCGTCAAGTCCAGCCCCCCGCTCTAGGCAGGACCAATCCCATCTAAATCAACCCGGCCAGGGCTTTGTCAAGCCGAGACTTAAACACCTCTAGGGATGGAGACTCCACTACTTCCCTAGGTAACCCATTCCAATGCTTCACTACCCTCCTAGTAAAATAGTTTTTCCTAATATCCAATCTGGACCTCTCCCACCACAACTTGAGACCATTGCTCCTTGTTCTGCCATCTGTCACTACTGAGAACAGCCTCTCTCCATCCTCTTTGGAACCTCCCTTCAGGAAGTTGAAGGCTGCTATCAAGTCCCCCCTCACTCTTCGCTTCTGCAGACTAAACAGACCCAAGTCCCTCAGCCTCTCCTCGTAGGTCATATGCTCCAGACCCCTAATCATTTTGGTTGCCCTCCGCTGGACCCTCTCCAATGCTTCCGCATCCTTTTTGTAGTGGGGGGCCCAGAACTGGACACAATACTCCAGATGTGGCCTCACCAAAGCCGAATAAAGGGGAATAATGACATCTCTGGATCTGCTGGCAATGCTCCTCTTAATGCATCCTAATATGCCATTAGCCTTCTTGGCTACAAGGGCACACTGTTGACTCATATCTAGCTTCTCATCCACTGTAACCCCCAGGTCCTTTTCTGCAGAACCTGTATGAACAAGCTAAACAGTGGCCCAAGCTTTCTTACAAGCTAAACAGTGGCCCAAGCTTTCTTACAAATCAAAGTTCTTGACAAATATTAAAACAAAATAAAACCAAGCAGTTTTTCACTTCATGTCTTCAGATGAGACAAGATCTTATCCACTCTGATGAACAAATCATTGGTGGGCTTGGTTAGTCCTTGGATATGAGACTTCCAAGGAAAATGCAGGTGGCTCTAGATGCTATGTTTTACTCTGAGATGGTGCTCAGCATTGTGTTAGGCAATTCCAGGGGGGGTGCAAGGTGCCCCAGCCCCCTATCAATTCTCCCCCTCCCCCCACAGTTTTGCTGCTATTTTTGTTTTTCGGACCCAGTCAGTTCCTTTTTTTGTTGTTGTTGTGCTCAACAAGTTTTGCTGGGGGGGAGGGAGGAGGCATGAGGGTTTCTCAAAAATCAAAAAGGGGGTGTGATGCCAAAAAGTTTGGGAACCACTGTTAGGGGATATGTGCTGCTGGATGAATAAAAGTGAGATAATGCTATGGCTTTTTTCCCCCCAAGAGCTGCTCCAGTGTTTTAGGCAAATTCCAGTGGGGATGATTATATTATATGGCCAAAGTTCCTCTTTCTGTTTTAACTATTTGGTTCTTCACATCCTATGCTAAACTGCTGTGTAGTGTTGCTTGTGTGGTATTCAACAGTTTCTGTGTGCCTCTATGTTTTATTTTAAAAACAAATACAAATTAAATTTAAAAGTAAAGTCCCTCTGTGAAATCTGCTTGAGGCTCCCAGATTCTTCTTGTTTCAGGATTCCTACTATCCAAAGGGTTCACCTTCTTATGAAGAAAGAGGATTTATTTTCCTTAAGAATGTAAGAATGGGCATATTGGATCAGACCAATGGTAACATACCACACTCAGTAGTTCTGCATTTTCATATTTGAGTTGCTTCAAATAATTTTTGTTGAATACCATCTGGTCCTGATGACTTTTTTATCAACTAGAAGATTTACCCAGTGTTTTGGGTCCTTAACTCAATTTTTGTTTCTCTTCATTTAAATCGTTACTCTGGGGTGGGGCTGGGGATGTGGGGGTTCAGTATGCAGGCTGACTCAGGGAAAAAGGACTACCCTAGCCCTCTCTCACTTCAGCAGCTGAGGGCCAGGTGAGAAGTGCCTCTGTGGCTGCTGCAGCTCCAGCTGGCACAGCCAGGAGAGGGGTGAGTGTCCCTCGGCTGGGACTGGTCTAGATTTGTCTGCTCCCTGCGCTCCCCATCCAGAGTGAGGAATGCAACAAACTGTGCACTTTCCCCTTGCTCCTTGACAAAGGGGAACAGCCAGCAATGTACATGCAGTATCACATCCATGTTCTTTATTCCTTCAGTTTTTTCCTCCCACTAGTATTCATCTATTTACAAATTTTGTAAGGCTCCTCCCTTTCATACGCAGAATAAGTCCACACCTAAGAGGCTTCCAGCTCACTCCAGGTACATATACACTACGCGCTTACTTTGAAATAAGCTATTTTGGAATAAAAACTCCCAAAATAGCTATTTCAAAATTGCACATCCACACTACAAATGCCCATCGAAATAGCGCAGATCTATATCGAAATAGCACATCCACATTGATTGGAGGCTGCATCATATGTAAAGCCCCCTGGAAGCACTTGGGCAGAGCATCCTGTAGCTGCTGCCTGAGACTTATGCTTAAAGGGGCTACACTCTGCAGCCATGTCTCAGACTCTTCACCTTTGCCTGTCTCCTCGAGGGACAGCAAACTCATCTCACTGCATGCTCTGGTTGCCCTTGCAGGCACCACAGAACTTCTTCCATGAAGCCAGACCTCCTCCAGAGCACTCACCAGCTATCAGACCTCCTACCACACTTCCTGGCGCAGTAACTGCACACTGCCCATGTGGCACTACAGGAACAGAACCCTCAGCTCACTGTGGGGCACCTCCTCACCTCTCTCCATGTGCTGCTCATGCAGCACAACCCCTCCCAACTCCCTGCACACCATGCACTGCTGCTTCCGGTGATGGGACACCTGTACCGACTGGTGGGACTGAATCATCATGGAGTGGTGGGACAACAAGCATTGGCTACAGAACTTCCATGTGCAGAAGGACACCTTCCTGGAGCTCTGTAAGTGACTCACCCCTGCCCTCAGGCAATGGGACACCAACATGCGACCCCACACCTCCCTTCAGAAGTGTATCACCATTGCACTTTGGAAACTCTCCACATCAGATAGCTACCACGCCATTGGAAAGCAGTTTGGCATGGAGAGATCGACTATCGTGGCCATGCTTATTCAGGTTTGGCACTCTCATGCTATTGTCCCAGGAGGGTGGTGAACCACTGGAATGGGGGTTCCCTAGGGAAGAATCCCTAAGGGGGTGGATTCTCTCTCCCTGGAGGTTTTTCAGTCCCACCTTCATAAAGCCCTGCCAGGGCTCCTGCTATGAGAAAGGAGTTGGGCTTGGGGAACTCCCAAGGGTTCTGGTAACCCAGTGATTCTCTGTTTGTATGCTCTCACAGGTGGTGAGGGCCAGCAATACCATCCTGCTACACAGGGTGACGTGGACCCCATCATCACTGGCTTTGCCACCATGGGCTTCTCCAACTGTAGGGGAGCCACTGACAGCACTAGCATCCAGCTATTTACAGGATGGGCCTCCAATTACATCAACCGGAAGGTGTACTTTTCAATGGTGCTGCAGATCCTCATGGACCACTAAGGCTGGTTCACAGACATCAATATCAGGTGGTTGGGGAAGGTGCACGACACCTGAGTCTTTAGGAACTCCAGCCACTTCTAGAGGATGCACATCGGCACATTTTTTCCCAACTGCACTCAGAGTCAAGGACGTGAAAATGCTGATGTGCATCGTGGGGGACACAGCCTACCCTTTGCTCCCATGGCTAATGAAGCCCTACATGGGACGCCAAGGAACATTTCAACAGCAGGCTCAGCAAAGTGGAGGGCATCTTCAGGGGTTTGATGGGAGGTTCTGATGTCTCCTCACCCGCCTGGACCTTGGTGAACAGAATGTCCCCCAGGCAGTGTTGGCCTGCTGTGTCCTGCACAACCTGTGTGAGAACAAAGGGGGAGACATTCCTGCCAGTATGGGGCACAGAGGCCAAGCAGCTCAAAAGGGCCTTTCAGCAGCCATGCACCACTGCCATCCGGCAGGTCCATCAGGTGGCTGTGCCCTGAGAGTTTCAGATGAGGACACCTGTGATACTCTCCCCTGGGCCTCTCCATAAGGGGCCTCTGCATTGCCCCTCTGTACCTTTCCTCTCACACCCTTCCCTTCCCCTGTCCTCCCTTCCCCTCCCCTCCCCCTCACCTCCCCTGCAGATTCAATAAAGCAGACTTTTTGTTTTAAAAGAATAAACTGTTTTTTAAAATTTTGGGTAAATATAACTTGGGAGGGACTGGGGAAAGAACCTAAGAAGAGGAAAGAGGGAGGTGGAAAGGGGGAGGAGAGACTCAGGGCTGGGACTGGGGCTGGGGCTTGCCTCAGGTTATCCCACTGCCTCGTGTGTGGGGCCCTTGTCAGCCACAGGGGGAAGCTAGGGAATTGTCACGGGGTCTCATGCCCTGCACCCCTTGGGGGGGTAAATCTGGCCCAGTGGCCAAGTCTATACTGCCCCATCTGGGGGTAAATATGGCCCAACTGCTGATTCTATAATGCCCCCTGTCTGGGGTAGATATGGCCCAGTGGCCGAGTCTATAACTCCCCTGGTCTGGGGTAAATATAGCCTAGCGGCAGAGTCTTTAATGCCCTCCTATCTGGGGTGAATATGGCCCAACGGCCAAGTCTAATGCCCTCTCTAGGGTAAATATGGCCCAGCAGCTGAGCCTATAATGCCCCTTGTCTGGGATGCATGGATAAGGATTTAGGGGGGCCCGGGCCCTTCCTCTCCATCGGGCCCCAGTCCAAGGCCCTATCAGTGGCGGGTGATTCCCACCACTGGCTCAGCAGGGAGTTGCCCATGAAACACACCGAGTTCTCCGGGATACCTCCTGCTCCCTGCCCTGGGCTGCTTCCTAACCCCGTCTGCTGGCCATCCCCATCCCTACCTGGGCTGGCGAATGCTGCAGCGTGGGCGGCTGCAGTTGGCATGGTAGCGGCGGCTAGAGCGGCTGCTGTAGTTGGCGCAGAAGTAGTGGTGGGCACCGTGGCTGTGGCCTGTGGCTGGTGTGGTGGCTGCGGCTCCGGCTTGTACAGCAGCTCTAGCTGGTGCGGCAGCGGCTCTGGTTCATGAGGCAGTTCTGGCTGGTCCCATGGGGGATGTTGCTCCTGGGCTCTGGCAGGCTTTTAATACATTTAAAAGGCTAAAGTGCAGCAGGGGATCCAGTGTGAGCCAGGAATCAGCCAGGAAGAGCCTGCCAGCTCTTAATACATTTTAAAAGCTGAAGTGCAGCAGGGGACCAGCACAAGCCGGGCCAGCTGATTCCCGGCTTGTGCCAGGTCTCCGCTGTGCACCAGCCTTAAATGTAAAGTGTAAGACCCTGCCAGGTTTTAATACATTTAAAAGGCTGCTGGGCAGCGGCGGTGGGGGGGACCCAGCATGAGGTGGGAATCAGCTGGACCAGATCCTGCCGGGTCCCCCCCGCTGCGCTTCAGCCTTTTAAATGTATTAAGATCCAGCAGGCTCTTAATACATTTAAAAGGCAGAGCCGCAGTAGGGCTGGAGCTAACCCCGCTGTGGCTCCCCTGCTTATTGATTAATCAACTAGTTGATGGAAAATCCATCAACTAGTTGATTAGTTGATTAAACTAAATTTAATATCCCTGTTCAGAGGTTGAAAGCAAATGACAAAAGACTGGATGTCTATATTGTTGAACAATATTTCCTTCTATCACTCTGGTAGCCTGAGTTTTACTATGATTAAAATATTAGTTTCAAGATCCATTTACTTATTTAGTTACAAAGAAACCAATGAACTATGGGGGCAATATCTCTTTTTTAAACCTACTGTTGAAAATCTTTTTCCATTATCATGAAATTCCACAAGGTGGCAGAGTAGTCTATGATTTTTCAGACTACTACAGCTAAATGACTAAGTACCTAAGTACCATCTTTTGCTCCTCTGTATCATATCCCTGAGTCTTCAAGCCTCGCAATGTGTAGCATTAGCAATTAAATATGTGAAGAAGGGCAGAAGGCTGGAAGATTTGTATTTAGTTTATCACATAATTTGCTGATTTTTTAAACCTGTTTTGAGATGGTTTCCCATTGTATAATTTAAGCAAACCATTTTTTTCCCAAAAAGAAAACAGGAAAAATGTATAGAACTGTAAAATGCCACTTCCCCTGCAGAAACATCAGCAGGATTTGGGGATTGGCCCTTTAGAGCCTCAACTAATGCTTCTACCACCTGAGCTACCAGAGTAATGACCAGAACCTTTTATTCAAGCCTTTCAAGGGGGATTTGACACACATATTGCCTGTGGGTCAGACAGCAGGACACTGGAGAGCAAGTAGCCTGGATTCTATTCTTGACTCTGGCTGTGGTATGTGTATTTACAGGTGGGATAAAGTAAGGTCATTTATTTGGCATATTCTATATGAAAGGCAGTGTGACTACAAACCACACCTGGATTAGTCATATTAAAGATCTAGATTCTATTTCAAACTCTGCTCAAAGTAATCTCTCATTAACTTATGTGTAACACCTAAGATCTGAAAGGTCTTGGTCAGTTTCATTATTACAGAGTGAGCTTAGATCCTTCTCTTCCTCATAAGGGCACCTCATCATTGACATACATAGCTTCCTGAACCTTGCTCTTAGTAGAATCACATAGATCAACCACTCTTAGATTGGATTTCTGGCCTGCAGCCCCTATTTTAATAACACAGTCTTGATTTGGCACCTATAATAGGAGCCTGTGTCTGCATAAAGTTTGCAGTGACACAGAAAGTGTCTTCAAAACAAAGCATTATTTATTCATTCCTGAAATGTACAAAGCATTTACAGCATTGGTAAAATGTTCTGTGTTTAGATAAAAGCACTAAAAGGCTTTGTCTACACTAGCAAGTTTTGTTGAGGAAAAGTGCTTTTTGTTGACAAAACTGCATGAGCATTCACACTGCGATGCAACTTTTGTTGTGAAAAATGGTCATTTTTGTGGCAGATAACTTCCAGCTTCATGAGGGACTTTTGTCTTTTCCTCTCCATGTGCTGACAAATGAAGTATAGACACTTTGAGGTGTTTTGTTTCTGATTCTGGCCTCCAGGAAGTGGCCCACAATTCCCAATCAGCTGCTCTGATCAGTGGTTTGCCCTGCAGCCAGGTGACTAGCTACCTGCCTGCCCTGTTGCATACTCCACAAAATTTAAATCCTATTTCCAGCTGCCTGAGCATCTGGACCACCCTCCATGTGAGCTGGCTCAGCATGTTGTGGTCTCGTGACATCTTCCCAGGTGCCAATGCTTGGCCATCACATCAAACACTCCCCTCCTGGCACACCACAGAACTGTTGGATCTAATTAATGTAGGAAGAAAGGAATCTGTTCTGTCCCAGCTGAGAGAGACCAGTAGTAACAGGGACATGTACAGGCACATTTCTCAGTCCTTGTGTGAAAAGGGGCATGAGTGGGGCACTTATAGTGACGATTAAAGAACTCAAACAAGTCCATCATAAAGCCCATGAAGTGAATCAATGCTCTGGTGCTTCGCTGAAGACCTGCTCTCTCTATACGGAGTGGACACTATCCTTAGCAGTGAGCCCACCTCCACTACCAAGAGCCCTGGGAATATTTTAGAGGGCACAGAGCTAGTACAAGGAGGACCTATCCCGGAGGATAAAACTGCAAATGAGGAGGTGAAGGTAGACGAGGACCAGAGGCTTCCTCAGGGCTGCCAAGAGTGTCTAGCAAGCCAAAGCTATTCTCCAATGCCGATGCACATTAGCAGCTGTTTTCCAGGGACCAGGAAACGGGATGAGATGCAGGGTAAGTGGCGATGGCTTGTGGAGTGCAAGGCTGAAGGCATGGAAAACTGGGAGTCTGGCTGTATTTTTGTGAACTGCATTTACCTCTGTGTAGCTAATTGATATGGCCAAGCAGGATGCTGATGCTTGCTGTGATCTCAGTGGAATCCTGCGAAGATGAACTTGTAAATTTTCTGCCACAGATTCCATGGCAGTGCAACTCTGTCCACTCCTCCATTGCAGGATCCTAGCCCATACCATTCATCAATCACTTGTGCAGGAATCAAAATGGAAAATAGGTGGGCTGAATATTGAGCATAGCTAAAGCTACAAGCCTGGAGAAGCTGTGCCCTGGTTTCATTGCTTAACCTGAGCAGGGTGATGTCTTCCAGGGTGTTACTCGCCTGTGGAGAAGTAGGGCATAATTAGAACTAAGTTCCTGCAGAGGGAATTTTCTAGATCCAGCTGGAATTTCTTTTGTCCATATGCACAACTGACAGCCACCCCCAAACCTCACTCACCATGATTATGGTGCTGGCTGAGATGCATTTTTTGCAAGCATCAGTGGGAAAGTGAGTGGAAATGTTGGAAAAGGGGTTTGTAAGTGAAATGTTACATGTAGCACTTGATGTTAACAGACTCCTTTTTATGAATTGTGCTAAACAGCAGAGACCTTGACAGCCCCACAATGTACCGTATCAGAGAGGTTGCAACAGATAAGGAAGCATCCTAAAAAAACCAGGTTCACAATGTACTAAATCAATAAGCGAGTGCAGATGTCAGGAGCAACATTTGGAAAGGGAGCTGAGGAACTGCCAGGACAACCAGGCCTTCATTAGGCAGGCCACAAAATAGAATGATCATTGTAATGGAGGAAAAGCACACTAAGCCAAGGTGAGTTTCCCCTGCCCTGAGCAGTTTCAAATTTTTATGTCCAGCAAACTCTCCTCTACACCCTCACATTCCTTTTCCCTCTTTGATAGTACTCATTTTCCATGCACTCCGTCCCCTCACCCAACTTTGATTATGATATCTAGACCTACATGCATTTGAGTTGTAACCTCCCTTACTAGCTCTCTGGGATGCTTTATTGCATTTCAGTGCACTGTTTTCTCATGAATAAAGGCACACTTTTAAAACAGTTCTATGCTTTTATTTACTGTTTAATAATTGCACAGATCAGTCACTATGATTCCCAGTTATGTGTTGCATTGGAGGTGGGATGGAGCATGGAAGCAACAGTTAGAGGTTTATTTCAGTGCCTCTCATTTTCAAAGTACGCTCTCAAAGCTTCCATGATGTTAAAAGCAGTTATTTGAGATCCTCTTACAGCTCTAGTGTCTGGCTTCTCAAACTTTGCAGACAAACACTATGCTTCAGTGTT